ATGTTTGTGTTTTCGTTGTTAAATAATGGATCGGTGGTTATGCAGTTTTTCATGCCCTTTAGAAGATCTGACAAAAATCCAAGTCGAGAATATGGCTATATAATGAGTGCAATGGGAAAAGCTTGCCTTTTGTTAATGTGTGTACATCTGATGTTACAGGAACCAAACACGAGCATACGGTAAACCCTCGTATTCCGGGTGTTAGAGTAGAGACCGGTGGAATGACGGGTCACGAGTGGAGCCTGGAGGAGGCGAGAACTGCAGCTAGACGCATGTGACGAAGGTGGAAGCTTTGGCGCTCCGAAGTGTTGGAGCGTCAAACACATCTTACATTCTTCCACCAAGTCAAATCACGATGGGTCAGTGTTTCAGCGATACAGCAAGCCTCACCGACTTTGTCAACAGGCCAGGTCAGAAATATATTCCATGATGCGTCTCGCGAGTGATTAAACAGTACTCTCCAGGTGTCGAAGAAAGCAGCTCACCGCTGAAGATATCAAGCGTGGCTTAGGCCTAACGGCCACACACCTGAAAAGCAAGAAAAAACAGATCACCGTCGTTGCTGTTGGAGGCGCTATCAACACGATTCTTCTTCGTGCGTATTCGTTCTACGATCTCCTAATGACGATGCAACTGACAATCTCGTAGGCTCCGTGCCTCTACAGCGGATGTAGATTTCTTCAGCATTGATGCTGCAAACAATCCCGTCTTGCGAGATGGTATTAAAAGCGCAGCCAAGACCATGCAGCTTGGTGAAGGGTGGATGAACAACCACACTGCACTTTTCATCGCTCCCAACACTAAAACCAACCTCTACAATGAAGCAATTAGCGATGGTGTAGTCATCTTTGATGAGCCTGGGCTTAAGGTGCTCGCTGCGCCCTGGATGTACTGTCTGGTAGCCAAATTGGAGAAGGCCGGAAAGCGAGGGAACGCAAAGTCCTATGATATGTCCGATGCAGCGCAATACCTCATCCAAGAATCCAAGAGGAGGGGGGCGAAAATCAAGGTCGCAGACATTGAGGCGAAAGCGATCGCGTATGGGGCAGAAATCCAGGAAGCGCAGATCAAGGAGTTAAAGGCTTTGTGGGAGGGTATATAGGGATGAGTCAGTTTAGCGACAAGCACACACTTTCCTGTAGTACAAGTGTATGATAGTACAGGATATGTGTACGACGTGTTGACCTAAACTGTAAGTGGGTAGAGGAGCTAGCGGCATGAACACGTTACTAGTCAGTGGGGGTGATTTCGATTTCTTATATATCAATGACGAACAGGAGGCCGTATATCACGGTCCCGCGGACCTCCTACCACAGATGCATTAACAGCACCCGTCCTTATACTATTATCCCGGGCCACCCCAAAGCATCGCCCATAGCAAATGCATAGTGCGGAACCAACCCCCGTTCTTGAGCACAATGTCCTCCCCTTATGACTGAGTCAGAGTTCCAGGGCATATGTCTTCGATTCCCACGACCGCCATGAATGTGTCCGAACACATGAAGCACTGGCGGGTGTGTCCTACAGAGCTCCCATATACGTGCAAGCAGGGCTCTGCAACCAAGTCCAGAGAGATCGAGATGACCGTGAGGAGGACCATGAGTGATGAGAATGTCTGTGTCGTTTGGAATGACAGACCAACGGCTGGATGTGCCAGTGACACCCGTACGTGGGTATTGGAAAGCGCCATTGCCGTGCTGCGGAGTGAATGGGCTGCCAAAGATTTTGAATGTGCGACCACGCACTTGGATAGTGTGAGCCTCATCCTCCAGATAGATGATGCCACGCTCTCGCCATGTGTGGACCCATGAACGACCCTCGACTGTCTGAAGGTATGTGTCGTGATTACCGGCTATAACGATTTTGTGTTCGTGTGGAAGGGAGACTAGCCAGTCAAAGGTGACCTGGAGCTCACTTGGAGTGCCAGAATGCGTGAGATCACCTGCGTGAATGAGGATATCACCGGGTGGTATCAGGGCAGATATGTCGGCGTTGTGAGTGTCTGATATGCATATGGTGCGGACGGGAGAAGACAAAGGACGTAGCAGTTGTTGGCTGAGAGTATTATATAGCTTTGAGGCTATATAAAGGCTGGGATTCGTCTTGAACAGCTCCCATAGACTAGGAGGCTTGCGATTAATGATTGCATCCAAGCCAGACATGCTCGTTCGATAAGGATCAATCCATACGCCCGTGAGGAAAAGCGCCGAAATGCTGGCTTAGTAAGCGGGATATATACATAAATTTTGAAATTAGGTTGAATCGTTTGGTCGTCCCAAAATCATGATACAGTGTCCTCAGGCAGATGCTCGCGCTGCGTTCCTTGACCTGGAGCCCATATCAATGCTCGAATTGCAATATGCTGAATTAAATTTGATGGAGATGACTCTAACTTGATAAATTAATGAACGACTTGGGCTTAAGTCTGACCTCGTTTAGTGGAGATAGCAGTCTATGTCTAGCGAGACGGATTCGAAATGGTTCTATGCCTTTTCTCACTCGAGTTTCTCGTCTCGCTAGGTACACTGTTGTTATTTACTTCCCCTGTTGGTAACTACGTCCTTGTTGTTTTGTCTCCTAAATTCCATGAGGTCCTTCCGTGCTCGTGGTGGGGTCCCTTATCTGTTGGCTATATCCTCGTTATCTGCGTCCCAACGAGACAAGTGAGGACAAGTAGACCCCCAAGGATCAAAAAATAACTGCACAGTGATGGAGCTGCCTGATGTCCTTCAATTTTTTTGCATCGTTGTGGTGAGCATCTAATATTTTTTGACTGTTAGAGCCGAGAGTACCTTTACTTGTGAGTGCTAGTCATGGCGCAGCTTTGCTAGTCACGGCACAGCTTTGCTCGTCATAATTTGGCAGCGACGCCATCGGCCAATTGTGACGTGAGCTAAGTAGACATTTGACCTTACTCACTATCACTGAATTTTGACTACAAGAGCACACTTGAACTTCCCGAGACAAAACCAATCACAATGTTCCAAAGGTCTCAGTCAAAATCACATTTACCATCGGCGGCCATCGTATCATTGTTGACCCTTCTCTAACCAGACTGCTCGATCACTGCTGCCTATTCCAGGAATAAATCGGACATTGCTTTCGAGATTTGTTTTGTTTGTGGTTGTAAGTCCATGTGCTTTGGATCAATTATCAAAGACACTTACGTGCTAATTAATATGGGCATAGCATCACGGAGTTTTGAAAGTCCATATGTGCCTGCCTAAGTTCGACTTACTCAGAACAGTTTGGAGCAAGCAAAGTCCCGAAGTGTGTATCTCAAAAATGAATGTGGATAACCAAACGATCGACGAAACAAGACTTAACATTCGGGGTTCGAATGTGAGCGGTACTGCGGACTCTGAGAATTATCCGGGCTAACCTATCTATATCAGGTCTTAGGGCTCCGAAGCTTCATCTAAGTAACGTTCGTGCATACTTGATCGTCCAATGTGCATAACTGGTGACCAATCAACCAACTGCATAACTTCGGACGCGACACATTTGTCACCACAACTGCCCTTTTTCATGATGATCCTCCCATCAACAATATACGTGTCAGTTGATATTTCTACCAAGTAACTTCCGAGTCGGCGACTCCATTAATGCATTTTTGCTGTAGTAAAATGCAGGAGTGACTATGCTGGAATTAATGCTTCTCACCTATGACGTCATATTTCGGTGTGTTACCGACTCCGAGTTGGATGAATTGTGCTATACACACACACGCGGATTGCAAGTTTTGAGAGGATCGTGCTAACACGAACACGTTTAAACGTGTACAACGTGTAGCGCTGATGTGTAGTTCATAAAAGTACTTGATGGTCCAGGTTGTCATTAAGCATCAATTGAATCAGCACTGTCCGATTCAAATTGAATCAAACCTTGCACTGGTTATAAAATCGGTGAGCCGCCTGAAAAAGTAAGACATCTAGATCGGGAACCGCGCTGTAAGGTTGAAATGAGATACCCAAGTTCGGACTTTGCTTGATAGTCCAAAAAAACCAAGTTTACGAAACTTGCGTGGCGGGGTAGAGGATGTTATAAAAGTGGGCTTCTAAGCCCACTGGTAGACTCACCAACCACGTGATTGCGACTATGAACCTCTACTGCGGTGCGCAAAGCTACCAACACCCCGCGAAGCAAAACAAAATTGCATCGCAGAGGCAGTATCGGGTCAAAGAGGGCGACGGGTTCCAAGAACTCAAAGACGTGATTCGCTTAGTGACAGGGGAGACTCCCCAGACCAGGTGCGAAACCTTGAAGAAAGGTATACTTGCTTTGTACACGTTCTGCTTGCATGATCACTTATTCCTTTCGCAGCTGCAGAACTCCTGCGGGATTTATCGAGAGAACATGGGGAAATTTCTAGGCATGAGCCGCTCCCGCCCTTGAAATACTCGTCAACATCAGCCTATGAAACTGACCAGGGGTCTCGTACGGCTTATGGTACGCGTTTTCAGCTCGTCGATGACAGGATCTCAGAAATCCCTAGAACCTCTTGTAATTCCCAACAACGAGACGTGGACAAACGCCATTGCATCAAGGGCAAGAAACAGTAGCCCAATGTCAGACACATCGGTGATGAGCTCGATTCTAGAGTATGAAGGCCACCCTCAGACGGAGATCCACCATATTGTCGGTGGTGAGGGCAACTGGAATTTGGTCCAACCAACCCCTTCGCAATTTCGACACAATTCGTTCCCCGGGCAGTGGAATGACATGTCGCTCATTCACTCGAACGTAGATCGAGTCCCATACTACTTAGAAAGGGTAGTAAATTAGGTTGTACGTCGGAATTTGAGGAATCCCTGAATGTTTTGAGTACTTGTAGTATCCATGATCTATTACTTTTACAGAATCACCTACCTTGTAGCTTGTATTTATTAGACCCATACACCCTTGGCGTAAATCCAACGAGAGGGCGAATGAGAGAAGTAAAACTGTTCGATATCTTGGATGCTCCATGACAAGGCATCAGTCACAACATGCAGATGCAGCAAAAATAGTTCGTACTATATCGGTAATCCAAGTGGCAGTTGATCTTGCCCATATCAGTTTGAGGCACACGGAATATACTGTGGAATGAATAGTAAGAATTTGTGTGCACGTCCTTACCAAAGAACTGGTAAAAATGACATGAGGTAAGTTCGTAGCTCACTCTAATCCGCAAACGATCACCGCGGTGATCTTGTCGCAACGATCATATCTTTCCCAAATATGTCCCGAGAAGTGCGAAATACAAGCGCGCGACTGCTGCCGCGAACACATAGCGCTAAATGTGTAAGTTAACTTCATTTGGATGATAGAGCGGGACTAGCCACCATGATGCATGGGGTCGATATCCAAAGTTAGTAAGGTAACGTAAGATGACTGCAGCCCAAGGCACGACGAACCACGAGTTGTGTTGGTGAGATGTATTGATACCACCTTGCTGTCAACCCACCGCAGAGGCCATTCCATAAGATGGGTGGTTGAGGGCAGATGGGTCGACTAGCAACCAAACACATTGAAGAGCATCACCTCAGGGCCCTATCACGATGATGGTGCATTAGTGGGAACATATAATAGACGCCTCCAACACCGTGACAACAGGGAACGGAAACTTGTGATCAGAACATGCAATCTGAGACTTCGTTTGGGCGCGCGCGATGAGAGAAAAGTTAAAATCACGTGGTGTTGCCGCTCTGGCAATTGCCGGCGAACAAAAACTTCGCACAACTAGTACCAGAGGGGTACGTAGTACAGAATAAATCTGTTACAATGCATGTGGTACAACAAGGTTTACCCAGCCGAGCGCCGAGAACCAATGTATGATGGCAGTCTAAACTTTCAGCTCTGTCATCGGTGGTAGAATGACTCCACTTCAAATCTTCAGAATGAGTCAAGCACTTTTTCGAAACTCAAACAGAGCGCACTCGTGCAATCTATTTCTTGCCTCGGCACCACATGTTCGATTTACAGCTTACAAGACAATCTCGTCGCTCGCGGGTGTGAAATTGCTTTTTGGCAACGAGGGTACGAATGCATGCACTCTGCTGCTTGCCTGCACCAGTACCCTCACGTGATGATGTCTTTGAATCTATTGAAAATATTATTGTTCACTCTGATCTCAAGATTTCAGAGTTATGTACCCAAAATCATGGAGGAACGTTACGTGGCACTAGAAAAGGAAGAACTGAGTCGGATGTCACGGTGTTCCGGATCCTAGTACTTGGCTCGCGGAAAGATCCAGTTGGACCTGCAATGTGCATCCTGGACCTGGTACGAGTATCTTTCTGGCATCGATAGGCATCGCCTGGACATCCTCGGAGGCCCGTCATCGTCGTTCGGACATATCATGCACTAGTTCCAACTCTTAGTAGTTATATGAGAAGTCGAGGCACAGTATGATCGGAGAACATTCCAGTAGCCAAAGAGCTCGAGGGTACCATACGTACAAACTTGCTTACAATGTATCAGTTAACAAACTCCTTATAATTGTCGACCTCAAGTCACCTTTATATCTGTTCGGACAGAACGTGCCCAGTACTACGCATACGCAATCGTTGGGCTGTGTAGAAGAATTGTATTTATGTTTCCTGGAACCTGAGAATGTGGTTATCATCCCTGCAGGCCTGATCGATCAGGAAGTCGGGAATGCGAGTTGCCAATTACTCCTAAAGACTTAGCTGAGCCGGAGAACCATCGGACATTAATATCGCAGGAGTGCCCCGCGCCCAGTTGTCAGGGCGTGCGAGAAACACAATGTCAATAAAAGGGATGGGCCTGGGAACTTGCGGTAAATTCATGTGGAGCGTATGTAATTAGCCCCACTCAATTCCATTTTATTTTTCTCATTTTATTTTTTAGCGAGTGAGTGTAGATTGCCGTGGGGAACAAAAAATAAAATGATATATTGGACTGCAGGTATGTTGTTCGGCGCTCGTCATTGCGGAGTTTCAACAATGCGAGCGCGGGGATGCTACTTGTCTCCAGTACCTACAATCATCAATGTATCATACGTCTACGAGGTCTCGGACGCAAGCCCCTAAAGCACCATCAGTCTACAGCTAAACAACTTGAGTTCCTGGCCATTGCACAACTGGCTGCAGCAGAAGACGACGACGACGAACTTCTCGGCCTTGCACTGGCAGCACTGGCCTGTAGCGCATCATAATCTGTGTTCGGAGGAGGCTGCGCATGTTCATGAAGCATAGGCACTTGCTCGAACACATCCGGCACTCCTGGGTATGTGTTCCTTCAGGCTGCGTCGTTCAATGTGCCGCCTCGGCATATTCTAATCTCAGCGCGCACCGCTGTACTTCAGAAATAAAATAAAATGGTCGACCTCAATTAGAACTCATTTTATTTCTCACCATCTGTCACTCGTATATCACTTGCAAAAATAAAATGGAATTGAGTGGGGCTATTGACTTCGCGCACGGTTAGGGTATAGCACGGGTATGGGCCACACCGCGGGTATGGGGGTCACGGGTATGGCGGGTACGGGTACGGTGTCGAGATGTGGTACCCGTGGTCATACCGTACCCGTTAGCACGGTATACGGGTATGTTTACGGGTGTCTCCGATAGAACCGAGAGTGGAAAGGACGGGACGGCCGAAGAACAGGCACAAGGGGAGATGCGCATCCAAAACGGGCACGGTGAGCGACCTGTCGACGTCGGCTCGCACCCTCTAATGTTTCAGTCCATTTTATCTTATATCACAGTACCTGACGCACGCACCTTATAATCTAGGTATAGAATTTGTTAGTAGAGAGTCTTCAATGCGAATACTGAGATATTCGCACCTTTGTCTAGGTCCCGCCTGTCTGCTTCGATATACATCACTTTAACTCTACATTTCTCAATACTCCCTCCATTCACTCCATCATTATGGTCAATCAGACGGCCTCGATCGCCGAGTCTACACGTTCAGAAACTTCAGATGTATCATCATCGAGTCCGCAGTCCATAGCGGCAGACAATGTTGCAAAACGTGTTAAGCTTATCATTCCACAGGTCGAAGCAACCCCCTCCGAGTTGCACTCTCCTGCTCCGGAAGTAATTGATATTGATGAAAATGATGCACCTCCTGCTGCTGAACAGGACGATGAGGCCGATCTAAGTATGTGAACTTATTGCTCGTGTCTGCATGGACCTTGATTAATTTTCACTCACAGACGCACTCAAAAAAACTTGGCGTTCAGCAGTCTATTCTTTTTTTAAGCTTGATGCTGTGACTGTCCAGTATCTCGATGGACGTCTAGTTCATTTCTTCCCTTGCGGGGCACGCAAGTGCAAACTCCCTGCCGGGGGTGTCCGCCGCTTCCAGGACTCCAAGGATAAGTCCTCGACTACGAATCTAAGGCACCACGCCAATGGCTGCTGGGGCAAAGAGGCAGTCGATCATGCATTCAGTGGTGGAAAGGTAGTACAGGCCACGAGTGGATCAGTTTTCTCGGCTTTTGCTCGAAAAGGACAACAACCTGTCCATCATACATATCGAATGCACACGAGCAATGAAGTTCGGTAAGTCGACATTTTTGGGCCTTAATAACATCTGACATTATTCACACTGGATTTAGGGCAAATCTCGTACGGTGGATCACAGAGAATAATCGACCTGTGAATATAATCAACGATCGTGCACTTCGTGATCTCCTGCTTTCTGGACGCCCTAATATCGAACTGCCATCACATTTTACAATCTCTCGTGATATTCGGGCGTCATTTGAAAAGTGCCAAGAACGCATTGGTACGCTCTTGCAGGTATGTGATCACATACATGTAAATCTCGCCACAGAGTCTCAAGCTGCATACAGGAACATGATGGCCGTCTTCATTTTGCCACCGATGCATGGACTTCCCCGAACCACCGTGCATTCATTGCGTGGACTGTCCATTTGGAACATCAAGGTGAAATGATATCATTCTTGCTCGATATCATTGAGGTCGCAGAGGTCAGCATTTATTTTCGATACTGCTCCAGTTTTCTAATCATTGTGATCCAGTCTCATACTGGCGAAGCCATGGCGAGAGCATTTCAAGCAATGCTCGAACAATTTGGTCTGACGCAAAAGGTACATCTTAGACTATCAGTTCCTTCGCATATCGAATAAATGACAATCAATTCAGATACTCGCACTCAATGCTGACAATGCATCTGCGAATGACACGCAGACAAAATACTTGGCGAAACTCGATAATTCGTTTCACGCTTATAACCGTGTCCAGTGCTTTAATCACACGATTCAGTTATGTGCCAAGGCACTTTTACGTCCATTGAATCCTGGATTGTCAGGAAATCATGATGATGAGGGGGATGTTGATGACGACGACGACAATGACTGCCCACCTCTTGTAATTGTTGATGAGTCAGACGAAGAGATGGACGAGACAGACAGGGATGTAGACGGTGTCGGTTTGAGAGAGGATGATGACCCCGATGACAAGATTGATGAATTAGAAGAGCTAGATGAGCAAGGTCGGTGCACCATCATTGCACAAACGGCCATTGTTAGAGATGCTGTTTCTAAGGTACTCGTTTCTTGACAAAGCTTGCTATCGAGCCTAGCTAGTAGCTGATACTATAATTTTGTATAGATCCGTCTTTTGTCATTTGCAATTATCCATTCAACTACCAAAGCACTCCCTATCTGGCGTTCTCACTGCAACAAGGCCGGTCTCAAAGCAAACCTTATCCCACGAGACGTCGTCACACGGTGGAACTCCACACATGACATGCTGCGTTTTGCAGTCAAGTACCAGAAGCCCATCAAGAAGATTACTGGCGACAAGAAACTGCCCAATTTCCGCAAATATCGATTGGAAAACAATGAATGGACTGTTGTCGAGGAACTTGTCACTGTACTGGAGGTAGCTCACTTAGCCTCTGATCGAGTTATTTTCAGGACTTATTCAATTCAACACTAGCGTTACAAGCAGGCTACACTCTTTTTTTCACGCAACTCGGCCAGTGTCTATGCAGTCATACCTGCAATGGACAAACTCGATAGCCATATGAGCAATGTTGAGACGAAAGAGGGGTTCCAACCAGCCATCCAAGCTGCGATGAAACTTGCTCGCAAGAAAATGGATAGATACTGGAAAATGACTGATGACTCAAACACGTATCGCATCGCAACAGGTGAGCATAAGTTGTCAATTGTTTCAATATGAGGTGGTTTGTGCTGACCCATGTCTCGCTAGTTCTCCACCCTGGCCTGAAGCTCGAATATTTCCGACTACAAAAATGGGAAGATGAATGGATTGAGGCTGCCGAAAATCTCATTCGAGAAGAGTACATAGATCGTTACAAAGACCAGGTCTTACCTTCGACTCCAGCTGCACATGTCTTGGCAGAAGACAAGGTGCGACAATGCGCTGATGACTTTGGTGACATATCTCTTGGCATAGCGGCATCTCTAGTAGATGAGCTTGACAACTATTTGCGGCAACCAGTGGAGAATACCAAAGTCCCGCTGCAATGGTGGGTCCATAATCAAAAGACATATCCAAATTTGCACCGGATGACACTTGATTACCTTAGTATCCCTGGTAGGTTGTGCACCATTGCTCTCGCTAGCATCACAGCTTATGTATCACACACCATAGCTACCTCAACTGCAGTTGAACGTGTATTTTCGCAAGGCCGGCACCTTCTGCACTTTACTCGAAACCGCTTGTCTCCAGCATCAACCCGTGCATTCCTCTGTCTTGGCTCATGGCTCCGCTGTGATCTGGTAGCGCCCGAGGACCTTACTAAGATCATGAAGTCTCTGAAGAAAAGAAAACGAGAGGACGAGAGCGTTGGATAAGGTTATTCTACGTAGTTTCACTATTTTTTGTTTGTGTACCCGCGGGTAAATGCAACACCGCGGGTAAGCTGCCATACCGCGGGTTAGTACGGGTAATACCGTACCCGTATCTGTACGGGTACGGTGTTGACGGGTACGGGTACGGTGTTGATCTTCCGACCCGCGGGTGTACCCGTGCTATACCCTAGATACCGCTGTACAGCTGTAACAGTGATGAGGATTTTCAAGTGGAGATGACGCCGAGATGTTGAGTGCGTTTACTACGACGGCTGCCAGTAGTTGGAATTTGAAAACGTAAATGGTTCCACACCGAATTGCCAATTGATAAACGTTTAAACCCTGGCTGGCAATCCTCGGTGTTCGAGCATGAAGTTGTTAGAGTGCACGGTGGTCCTTTGGTGCCGACGGTCGAGTCGACAGCTGGTTGGATATACGAACATTAGTTCCACACCAACTTGAAGGTGACCCTAGCTGGCAAGATCTGTTGGCCTTGCAGATAGTATGCATATGTTTGAAGGCAGAACCACTCACGCAAGAACATACAAGTATATCTTCCTACTAACCTATTTGCAAAGATCCTCCCAAACACAATCTGTTTTTTCTTTGCCATTGTTTTCCGTTGTCGTTGCTGCTTTAACCCATCAATTTCTGCCACGCTCATTGACATCCGATGAGTCCCATCTTTTTGCAAGAAGCTAGTGTTTACAACCCCTGCATTGTCCAACTGATATGATTGATATCTAGTCGTTCCCAAGTTCCCAACCAACCAATCACATACATGTTGGACTGCATGGCACCGCATACGATAATTTGATTCGGCCGGGGCTTTTCGGTTCGCATCACTGATATATTGAACCTACTTATCAGCGTTTGAACCTTGACTCTAGACGCCCGCATACTCCATCAACCAACGGCCACAATGCTGCCCTCGCTGGACGTCCTGCGTCTCCCTACAACTAGGGTACTACTCACAACCGAGACCTTCACTTCTCGTGTCCTTCCACCAGTCGCATGTTACTTTGTCACAGCTTTTCTTGTCCTGCTGCCCCGAACGCAGCCAGTCCGCATTGCGTTATGGCCCATCACCACGATCCTTGCACTTCGCGCGGCGACATCGTTAGACATGTGCATGGGGCAACCGAAACTTGCCTTTTTCAATATCGATCTGCAGGTGAATTTCTATTATATTCGCATTGACTGCCACCTCATTGAACTTATCTCTCAGCTATCTATGGTCTGTATTGCAGCACGCACCTTTGAATGGACGGTGCAGACGAAACCCTTTATTCGTGCAGCTCGCTCGTCAACTGACGCACCAAAGCGAAATATTGTGCTCGACACAATTGATTTGGCATGCAACCTTCGAGGCTGTGGCTGGGACTGGTCGAAGGGACTGTACATCCCGCCTGAGACACATCCTACATCCTCACGATTGGCCTTTGCTAAATCCGTCCTAGTCTCTTGTCTCAAGCACTTATTTCTTTGCGGCGCGATTCACTCTGCCGTGCAATCTTTCTCTCCAGATACATTCGGATCTGTTGATGGTGGTACCATCTTCGACGACTCACTTCCCCCGCACCTCCGTTATTTACGATCGAGCATCATAGCGACGATGTGTGCATTCGGCATCTACTCAGTACTCCAAGCCGGTTACGAACTCACGGTATTTATGTGTGTACTGTTGTTCAGACAACATCCAGAGCAATGTCCCCCCTCATTCGACTCTCCCTGGCGCGCCACTTCTCTCAGAGAATTCTGGAGCCGACGCTGGCATCAGTGGTTCCGTCGGATATTCATTTTCCTCGGGGGAAAGCCATTTTCTCTGCTCTTTGGGGGTATCGGGGGCGTCATAGGCACGTTCCTCGCCTCTGGAGTTTTTCACCACCTCGCACTACTTGCTATCGACCCGTCCTCGGAGATGTGGCGCATGCTTCTGCCATTTGGAATGATGGGCACTGGTGTGGTGATCGAGCGTGCTGTTGCGGGGATTAAGACAGGTGGCTGGATAGGATGGATGTGGACAATGTGCTGGCTGATGTTGTGGGGGAACGTGATGGTGGATGGGTGGGCGAGAGCTGGGATGCTTGGGGGTTCGAGCGTTTTGGATAGTGCGACGCCTGTAAGGCAACCGATTGAGCGGCTGGTGAGGACGTTTGATAAGTATCTGCATACACGTTAGCAGAAAACCATGATGGTAGGAAGTTGTAGATGATCCAGTATCTGATACTAAAATTGTGGAAACGAGAGCAGTTAGTTCAATGCAAATTTCTGAATGCTATATAGTGGATGACGCGACGTCGGACCGACTCAAAACTATGAACCGCAGCTTAACTGCCAAATCAGGAACTGCGACGTCTGGAAGGTCCGAAGCAGTGCTTATCTGCTTCCGTTCTGAAGCTTGAAGACCAACAACACCGTGAAATGAAGCAGAGGTCGCCATAGTGGTGAGCAAGGACTGATAAAAAAGCACAACAACACAGCATAACGTAGTGGACAACATGCCGGCAGCTATGGGCGCTCATATACTTTAGATAAGGTGAGTATGTACTATAGACTTGGTCGTAAAAATTATGTTTCTGGTGTTGCAGATAGTATGCATTTGTTTGAAGGTACAACCACGTACGCGCAAGCGGCAAGAACATATAAGTATCTTCTTACTAACCCATTTCACACCATTTGTTTTTCCTTTGCAATTATCCTCGCTGTCGCGTTGCCCCATCTGCACCACCAGTCTCTGCTACGCCCAAGATTGTTGCGGCGGCGCTGAGAAATAACCCTAATCGACCAATCACATACATATACATGTACTTCATGGCACTGTATATGATAATTTGATTTACGGGGGCTTTACATTGAACTTACTTATAAACGTATGAACCTCAGGCTTGACTCCAGATGCCCGCATAACGGCCACAATGCTGCCCTTGCTGGACGTCCTGCGTCTCCCCACAACTAGGGTACTACTCACAACCGAGACCTTCGCTTCTCGAGTCCTTCCACCAGTCGCATGCTGCTTCGCCACAGCTTTTCTTGTCCTGCTGCCCCGAACACAGTCAGTCCGCATTGCGTTGTGGCCCATCACCGCGATCCTTGCATTTCGCGCGGCGACATCGCTAGACATGTCCATGGGGCAACCGAAACTTGCCCTTCTGAATATGCAGCTGCAAGTGAGTTCCTGTATTCGCATTAATTGCCATACCGTTCAACTTATCTCTCTTAGATATCCATGATGTATATTGCAGCACGCACCCTTGAATGGACGGTGCAGACGAAACCTTTTGTTCGTATGGCTCCCCGATCGTCAACCGACGTGCCAAAGCAAAATCTTGTGCTCGACGCAATTGATTTGGTATGCAACCCTCGAGGCTGTGGCTGGGACTGGTCGAAGGGACTGTACATCCCGCCTGAGACACATCCTACATCCTCACGATTGGCTTTTGCTACATCCGCCCTAGTCTCTGGTCTAAAGCATTCATTTCTTTGTGGCGCGCTTCACGCTGCCGTGAAGTCTTTCTCTCCAGATACATTTGGATCTGTTGATGGTGGTACCATCTTCGACGACTCTCTTCCCCCGCACCTCCGTTATTTACGATCGAGCATCATCGCCACGCTATGCGGATTCGCCATCTACTCATTGATCAAAGCTAATTACGAGATCACCGTAGTTATTTGCGTACTGATATTCAGGCAACATCCAGACCAATGCCCCCCCTTAATAGACTCTCCCTGGCGCGCCACCTCTCTCAGAGAATTCTGGAATCGTCGCTGGCATCAGTGGTTGCGTCGGACAGTCATTTTCCTCGGGGGAAACCCACTTTCTCTACTCTTTGGGCGTATCGGGGGCGTCATGGGTGCATTTCTCGTCTCTGGGTTTATTCATTACCTTCAACTACTCCCCATCCATCCGTCCTCGGAGATGTGGCGCATGGTGCTGCCATTTGGAATGATGGGCACTGGGATGGTCATTGAGCGTGCTGTTTCGGGGAATAAGACAGGTGGCTGGATGGGATGGGTGTGGACAATGTGTTGGATGGTGTTGTGGGGGAACGTGATGGTGGATGGGTGGGCGAGAGCTGGGATGCTTGGGAGTCCGAGCGTTTTGGATAGTGCGACGCCTATAAGGCAACCGATTGAGCGGCTGGTGAGGACATTTGACGAGTATCTGCATGCTATTGGCAGAAAACCGTGATGACAGAAATCTGTAGATATCCCAGTAGCTGATACTAAAATTGTGAGATACGAGAGCAGCTAGTCCAATGCAAGTTTCTGAATGCTTGAGGATGACTTCCCTCGAGATACGTACTAGTAGTCGGTCCTACACAAATCATTTGTATGCTCCAGCACGCCTCCTCAGTGTCGAAGACAGCAGACTTAGTGAGCCCAAGTATTGATCAAGCTAGAGTCATCTCCGTCAAATTGAATTCGGCATATCGCAACTCGAGCATTGATACATATGGGCTCTAGGTCAAGGAACGCAGCGCGAGCATTTGCCTGATGAACTCTGATTTTGGAACAACCAAACGGTTTCAAAATTGATATATATCCCGCTTACTAAGCCAACATTCCCGACGACCAGTCTGGGTTCTGTTTGCAGCAAATGACATTTCCTCTACCAAAAATACTGATCGAGCAGGCGGGCTTCCCTCCTGGTGTCATCAACATCATGAACGGATATGGTTCAACAGCAGGGCAGGCAATCTCTGACCACCCTCTTATCGAGAAAGTTGCATTCACTGGCAGCGACGGAAAATTATGGAGGCTGCTGCCAAGAGCAACTTGAAGTCTGTCACTCTTGAGCTTGGCGGAAAGAGCCCCAATATCATCTTCGATGATGCCGACCTGGAGCAGGCAGTCAAGTGGGCTATCCACGGTATCTAGTATGTTACCCCGTTCACATGACTTATGCTAGTTCTCATCGTTTTTGTAGCTTTAACCACGGTCAGAATTGTTCTGCAGGTTCTCGTATCTTTGTTCAAGAGGGCATATACGACAAGTTCTTGGACAAGTTCATTTCATCACACATGGCTGATATAGTGCCTACGGCGCATCACATTCAGGGTTTGAACCCCTCCATCAAGCACCTCTATATCACCAAGACCGCAAACCAGGACCCGCTTCTGATCCACATCCCTGTTGACATCCGGGAGCATGCTTTCTACCTCTAGTATCTTCAAGTTTAAGTTTGATGTGAGTTATCATTCTTCGTTGAGGCGAGATGCTTTATTGATCATATCTGTAGTACCTGAATGCCATTTGGACCGTCATCAACTCTGAGGCGAGCCTCACGAAATTGTTAGTGTAGGGAGCTCAGCTTGTTCCTGGACCCGACTTAGGTTGGCATACAATTTGGATCGCAATCGTTTTTTTTAGTTTCCTGCACTGGTTCGAAAAATAACGGGTCCAGGGGTGCCCGGAGAGTTGTTGTATAAGTAGTAAGTGTAGTTAGTGCGCACTCACCGTTTAGGAACACCGCAGCAGTAGTCACGGCAGATACCCAGGCCGCAGCGGTCGCAGCAGTGGCGCAGCATTTTCACTATGCCCTGCCTTGACCCATCTGGACCATCAGTCTCTGCCACGCCCTAATCGACCAATCACATACATATACATGTACTCCATGGCACCGTAAATGATAATTTGGTTCACGGAGGCTTTGTTTTGAAGCTACTTATAAGCGTATTAACCTTGACTCCAGATGCCCGCATAACGGCCACAATGCTGCCCTTGCTGGACGTCCTGCGTCTTCCCACAACTAGGGTACTACTCACAACCGAGACCTTCGTTTCTCGAGTCCTTCCACCAGTCGTATGTTACTTCGCCACAGCTTTTCTTGTCCTGCTGCCCCGAACGCAGCCGGTCCGCATTGCGTTATGGCCCATCACCGCGATCCTTGCACTTCGTGCGGCGACATCGTTAGACATGTCCATGGGGCAACAGAAACTTGCCTTGTTGAATATGCAGCTGCAAGTGAGTTTCTGTATTCACGGTAATTGCCACACCGTTCAACTTATCTCTCAGATATCCATGATGTATATTGCAGCACGCACCCTTGAATGGACGGTGCAGACGAAACCTTTTGTTCGTATGGCTGGCCGATCATCAACCGACGCGCCAAAGCAAAATCTTGTGCTCGACGCAATTGATTTGGTATGCAACGCTCGGGGCTGTGGCTGGGACTGGTCGCAGGGGCTGTACATCCCGCCTGAGACACATCCTACATCCTCACGATTGGCTTTTGCTACATCCGCCCTAGTCTCTGGTCTAAAGCACATATTTCTTTCTGGCGCGATTCACTCTGTCGTGAAGTCTTTCTCTCCAGATACATTTGGATCTGTTGGTGGCACCATCTTCGACGACTCACTTCCCCCACACCTCCGTTATTTACGATCGAGCATCATCGCCACGCTATGCGCATTCATCTCCTACTCATTAATCAAAGCCAATTACGAGATCACCGTAGTTATTTGTGTATTGATATTCAGGCAACATCCAGACCAATGCCCCCCCTTAATAGACTCTCCCTGGCGCGCCACCTCTCTCAGAGAATTCTGGAGCCGACGCTGGCATCAGGGGTTCCGTCGGATATTTATCTTCCTCGGGGGAAAGCCACTTTCTCTGCTCTTTGGGCGTATCGGGGGCGTCATAGGCACGTTCCTCGCCTCTGGGTTTATTCATCACTTCGCACTACTTCCCATCGACCCTTCCTCGGAGATGTGGCGCATGGTGCTGCCATTTGGAATGATGGGCATTGGGATGGTCATTGAGCGTGCTGTTTCGGGGAATAAGACACGTGGCTGGATGGGATGGGTGTGGACAATGTGCTGGGTGTTGTTGTGGGGGAACGTGATGGTGGATGGGTGGGCAAGAGCTGGAATGTTTGGGGGTCCGAGCGTTTTGGATAGTGCGACGCCTATAAGGCAACCGATTGAGTGGCTGGTGAGGACGTTCGACGAGTATCTGCATGCTATTAGCAGAAAACCGTGATGGCAGAAATCTGTAGATATTTTAGTAGCTGATACTAAAATTATGAGATACGAGAGCAGCTAAGCCTAGTCCAATGCAAATTTCTGGATGCTGGTGGATGACTTCCATCGAGATACGCACTAGTAGTACATAGTCGGTCCCACGCAAATCATTTGTATGCTCCAGCGCGCGTTCTCAGTGTCGAAGACAGCAGACTTAAGCCCAAGTCGTTCATGAATTAATCAAGCTAGAGTCATCTCCGTCAAATTGAATTCGGCATATTGCAACTCGAGCATTGATACATATGGGCTCCAGGTCAAGGCGAGCATTTGCCTGATGGACTCTGATTTTGGAACGACCAAACGGTTTCAAAATTGATATATATCCCGCTTACTAAGCCAACATTTGATCTTCTGCTTCCTCACGGGCGTATGGATTGATCCTTTTCGACCGAGTATGTCTGGCTTGGATGTAATCATTAATCGCAAACCTCCTAGTCCATGAGAACTGTTAAAGACGAATCCTAGCCTTTAGATAGCCTCAAAGCTATATACTAGTCTCAGCCAACAACTGCCACGCCCTTTGTCTTCTCCCGTCCGCACCAGATGCATATCGGACACGCACAACACCGACATATCTGCCCTGATACCACCCGGTGATATCCTCGTTCACTCTCACTCATTCTGGCACTTTCCGCGAGCTCCAGGTCACCTTTGACTGGCTAGTCTCCCTTCCACACGAACACAAAATCGTTATAGCCGGTAATCACAATACGTACCTTCAGACAGTCGAGGGTCGTTCATGGGTCCACACATGGCGAGAGCGTGGCATCATCTATCTGGAGGACGAGGCTCACACTATCCAAGTGCGTGGTCGCGCATTCAAAATCTTTGGCAGTCCATTCACTCCGCAGCACGGCATTGGCGCTTTCCAATACCCACGTATGGGTGTCACTGGCACTCCCAGCCGTTGGTCTGTCACTCCAAACGACACAGACATTCTCATCACTCATGGTCCTCCTCACGGTCATCTCGATCTCTCTCGACTTGGTTGCAGAGCCCTGCTTGCACGTATACGGGAGCTCTGTAGGACGCACTCGCCAGTGCTTCATGTGTTCGGACACATTCATGGCGGTCGTGGAATCGAGCATATGCCCTGGAACTCTGCTCAGTCAATATGGGAGGACATTGTGCTCAAGAAAGGGGGTTGATTTCACACTATGCATTTGCTATGGGCGATGCTTTGAGGCGGCAGGGATAATAGTGTAAGGACAGTTGCTGTCAATGCATCTGTGGTAGGAGGTCCGCGAGACCGTGACATCCGGCCTCCTATAGTCATTGATATACAAGAAATCTCGCGCAAACCCACTATCGCATTCACCCACTGACTGGTAACGTATTCATACCGCTAGCTCCCTACCCACTTACAAGTTTAGGTCAACACGTCGTGTCCATATCCTTGTTCTATCATACACTTGTGCTACAGGAAAGTGTGTGCTTGTCGCTCAACTGACTCATCCCTCTATATACCCTCCACACAAAGCCTTTAACTCCTTGATCTGCGCTTCCTGTATTTTCGCCCCCTTCCTCCTGGATTCTTGAATGAGGTACTGCGACGCATCGGACATATCATAGGACTTTGCGTTCCCTCCCTTTCCGGTCTTCTCTAATTTGGCTACTGGACAGTACATCCAGGGCGCAGCGAGCACCTTAAGCCCGGGCTCATCAAAGGTAACTACACCATCGCTAATTGCTTCATTGTAGAGATTGGTTTTAGGGTTAGGAGCGATGAAAAGTGCAGCCACGACCGCGGCAAGACCGCGTGAAAATAGCTACGCCCCAACATAACAACGAAACCCTAGGCCGCCTCTTTCGCTGCCCTCATCCTTCTCTGGTGACTGAAGGTGTGCTTTTGGCGCTCACGCCATTGTGTGACCACTATCGTCCTCCGCCAAACTCATTCTACATTTTACCGCTGCCAACGCTGGACACGCCATCACTAACATTATTTGAATTGATATATACATTTATCTGCCTCGGTTAATTCAATGCTTTCATTTGTCATCCTTCTCATCAAGCTGAAACTTTGCAACACACCAACCAAGTTATGAGAGAGCAATATATGAGAGAGATTGAATCAGTCTCGTCAGAAGAAGCAGGCTGGCACTTTGGACCATGTTTAGACGAGTCACGACATTGATCTTGAAGCTTGAATGGCTGCCAGAAATGGATAGAGCCGCGAAAAAGAGAAGAGAAACGACACAGCAGGTGTGCCGTGCTTATATACTTTAGATTAGATTAGATAGATTAGATAAGGTGAATGTAAGACCTTGATATGTTTCAGTGGTGTTGCAGATAGTATATATTTGTTTGAAGGTAAGACCACGTACGCAAGAACATATAAGTATCTTCTTACTAACCCATTTCACACCATTTGTTTTTCCTTTGCAATTATCCTCGCTGTCGCGTTGCCCCATCTGCACCACCAGTCTCTGCTACGCCCAAGATTGTTGCGGCGGCGCTGAGAAATAACCCTAATCGACCAATCACATACATATACATGTACTTCATGGCACTGTATATGATAATTTGATTCACGGGGGCTTTACATTGAACCTACTTATAAACGTATGAACCTCAGGCTTGACTCCAGATGCCCGCATAACGGCCACAATGCTGCCCTTGCTGGACGTCCTGCGTCTCCCCACAACTAGGGTACTACTCACAACCGAGTCCTTCGTTTCTCGAGTCCTTCCACCAGTCGCATGTTGCTTCGCCACAGCTTATCTTGTCCTGCTGCCCCGAACACAGTCAGTCCGCATTGCGTTGTGGCCCATCACCGCGATCCTTGCATTTCGCGCGGCGACATCGCTAGACATGTCCATGGGGCAACCGGAACATGTCTTTTTGAATATGCAGCTGCAAGTGAGTTCCTGTATTCGCATTAATTGCCACATCGTTCAACTTATCTCTCAGGCATTCATGATTTATATTGCAGCACGCACCTTTGAATGGACGGTGCAGACGAAACCTTTCGTTCGTATGGCTCGCCGATCGTCAACCGACGTGCCAAAGCAAAATCTTGTGCTCGACGCAATTGATTTGGTATGCAACGCTCGGGGCTGTGGCTGGGACTGGTCGCAGGGAATGTACATCCCGCCTGAGACACATCCTACATCCTCACGATTGGCTTTTGCTACATCCGCCCTAGTCTCTGGTCTAAAGCACATATTTCTGTCGGGCGCGATTCACTCTGCCGTGAAGTCTTTCTCTCCAGCTACATTTGGATCTGTTGATGGTGGTACCATCTTCGACGACTCACTTCCCCCACACCTCCGTTATTTACGATCGAGCATTATCGCCACGCTATCCGCATTCGCCATCTACTCATTAATCAAAGCCAATTGCGAGATCACCGCATTTATTTGCGTACTGATACTTAGGCAACATCCAGACCAATGCCCCCCCTTAATCGACTCTCCCTGGCGCGCCACTTCTCTCAGAGAATTCTGGAGCCGACGCTGGCATCAGTGGTTCCGTCGGATATTCATTTTCCTCGGGGGAAACCCACTTTCTCTACTCTTTGGGCGTATCGGGGGCGTCATAGGCGCATTTCTCGTCTCTGGGTTTATTCATTACCTCCAACTACTCCCCATCGACCCTTCCTCGGAGATGTGGCGCATGGTGTTGCCATTTGGAATGATGGGCACTGGGATGGTCATTGAGCGTGCTGTTTCGGGGAATAAGACAGGCGGCTGGATGGGATGGATGTGGACAATGTGCTGGATGTTGTTGTGGGGGAACGTGATGGTGGATGGGTGGGCAAGAGCTGGGATGCTTGGGAGTCCGAGCGTTTTGGATGGTGCGACGCCTATAAGGCAACCGATTGAGCGGCTAGTGAGGACGTTTGACGAGTATCTGCATGCTATTGGCAGAAAACCGTGATGGCAGAAATCTGTAGATATTCCGGTAGTTGATAGTAAAATTGTGAGATACGAGAGCAGCTAGTCCAATGCAAATTTCTGAATGCTGGTGGATGACTTCCATCGAGATACGTACTAGTAGTCGGTCCGCAAATCATTTGTATGCTCCAGCACGCGTCCTTAGTGTCGAAGACAGCAGATTTAAGTCCAAGTCTCGTCAAGCTAGAGTCATCTCCGTCAAATTTAATTCGGCATATTCCAACTCGAGCATTGATATGGACTCCAGGTCAAGGAACGCAGCGCGAGCATCTGCCTGAGGACTACTTAGTTTCAACATTCATATTTCGCTTACTAGACCAGCATTTGATCTTCAGCGGCGCTTTTCCTCGGGCGTACGGATTGATCCTTTTTGAACCAGCATGTCTGGCTTGGATGCAATCATTAATCGCAAAGCCGCTCCTAGTCCATGCCATGGAGCTGTTCAAGACGAATCCCAGCCTTTATATAGCCTCAAAGCTATATAATACTCTCAGCCAACAACTGCCACGTCCTTTGTCTTCTCCCGTCCGCACCATATGCATATCAGACACTCACGACGCCGACATATCTGCCCTGATACCACCCGGTGATATCCTCATTCACGCAGGTGATCTCACTCATTCTGGCACTCCCGGCGAGCTCCAGGTCACCTTTGACTGGCTAGTCTCCCTTCCACACGAACACAAAATCGTTATAGCCGGTAATCACGATACGTACTTTCAGACAGTCGAGGGTCGCTCATGGGTCCACGCATGGCGGGAGCGTGGCATCATCTATCTAGAGGATGAGGCTCACACTATCCAAGTGCGCGGTCGCGCATTCAAAATCTTTGGCAGTCCATTCACTGCGCAGCACGGCAATGGTACTTTCCAATACCCATCCAAACGACACAGATATTCTCATCACTCATGGTCCTCCTCACAGTCATCTCGATCTCGCTGGACTTGGTTGCAGAGCCCTGCTTGCACGTATACGGGAGCTCTGTAGGACGCACCCGCCAGTGCTTCATGTGTTCGGACACATTCAGGGCGGTCGTGGAATCGAGAATATGCCCTGGAATTCTGCTCAGTCAATATAGGAGGACATTGTGCTCAAGAAAGGAAGTTTCGTTGTAGAGGTTGATTTTAGTGTTGGCGATGAAAAGTGCAGTCACGACCGTGGCAGGACAGCGTCAAAATAGCTACGCCCCAACATAAGAACGAAATCCTCGGCCGCCTCTTTCGCTGCCCTCATCCTTCTCTGGTGACTGAAGGTGTGCTTTTGGCGCTCACGCCATTGTGTGACCACTATCGTCCTCCGCCAACGCTGAACGCGCACTCATATCGATGTCTCCGGCCTTAACCGCATCTCACCCAAGCAGCCTGCGCCCGTACCATCGCCATCAAGCATCGTCATTCTCGCACTCGTGAACGTCAACACCGACTTGCCCGTTTCGGGCTCTCGATGGAAGTTGAACGAGCTTCAAAATGAGGTTGTAGTTGCATGTATTCGTCGCTATCATGCGAGCCTAGTGTACACCATGTTGCTCATGGCTTCTGCAAAATATAATACACTCCCTGCAATACGGATGATAGCGCGAAAACGTTAAAAAGTGGTCCAAACAAAGCACGAAAGCAATTAGATGGTCCGAGAAGCACGGGATGCGTACACTCAATACGAGGTACTGTCCACGGACAGCCCGGATAGCGTTCTTGACCGAAAACAATGCTCGAGAAACCCTGAGCGAATGTTTGATCCACGGTGCTGCTATCGAAGAAACGTAAGTGTTCAGGATCAGATCTCGAGTGTGTTATAGCGGTTATAGTGGCGTTGTACTAAAGGAACGTGATGGTAAGAGAACAGGACAGCCTGTGTTGATGACATGTTAGTACCTGGCGCACTGCACCTGCAAGTAGCAGGTAGCAAACATAAACGTTGCGGAATCCATGCAGTTGCAAATGAGTGCGAGGAATGCAGAATTCAAAGTTTGCGCTACGCGCATAGCACCGTGCGCGAAGTCAATAGCCCCACTCAATTCCATTTTATTTTTCCCATTTTATTTTTTGCAAGTGATATACGAGTGACAGATGGTGAGAAATGAAATGAGTTCTAATTGAGGTCGACCATTTTATTTTATTTCTGAAGTACAGCGGTGCGCGCTGAGATTAGAATATGCCGAGGCGGCACATTGAACGACGCAGCCTGAAGGAACACATACCCAGGAGTGCCGGATGTGTTCGAGCAAGTGCCTATGCTTCATGAACATGCGCAGCCTCCTCCGAACACAGATTATGATGCGCTACAGGCCAGTGCTGCCAGTGCAAGGCCGAGAAGTTCGTCGTCGTCGTCTTCTGCTGCAGCCAGTTGTGCAATGGCCAGGAACTCAAGTTGTTTAGCTGTAGACTGATGGTGCTTTAGGGGCTTGCGTCCGAGACCTCGTAGACGTATGATACATTGATGATTGTAGGTACTGGAGACAAGTAGCATCCCCGCGCTCGCATTGTTGAAACTCCGCAATGACGAGCGCCGAACAACATACCTGCAGTCCAATATATCATTTTATTTTTTGTTCCCCACGGCAATCTACACTCACTCGCTAAAAAATAAAATGAGAAAAATAAAATGGAATTGAGTGGGGCTAATTACATACGCTCCACATGAATTTACCGCAAGTTCCCAGGCCCATCCCTTTTATTGACATTGTGTTTCTCGCACGTCCTGACAACATCACTAAATCCCACCGTTCCCCACAAACCATTATATACACATTATCATGTAGATAATAACCATATTCGGCTAAAATATGACAGTGCGAGATATATAGGCATATAAGTGTTTAGAACGCTATCCCCTATGACCAATGATTGTCATGAATCGTGTAGTGACAAATACTAGTACTGTTTTGAAGTGATGAAACATGTTCAACGAAGTGTTTCTCATGTAGAATTTCTAGCACAGTGGCTCTCCTGTCCAATAAGTAACAAAAATATAAATTCTTGCCATCTGTACCATCATACAGACAATTGCTTCAAATACTGGTATTATGATATTATGGGTTTTATACTTGATTGGCCAGGAAATCATATTGGATGGTACATCAGGGAAAACCTCCCGCGAAGATTTCATAAGATTTTCTGAAATTTTCTGACTTTCTGAAAATACATTAAAATATTCCAAGTCCCTCTACGGATGGGTGAAAATTTACAAAAATCCACATGAATACAACAAAATGATTATAATGTGATTAAATCAGGGTATATACTAGAATATCGCAAATCACAAGATATGAAAACGAGGAAATGAGACAAAAGTTGTAACGCAAAGTCCTTGTGCTATCAGGAATGCCCTAGTCGATACTCATCCCATCGAAATCGATTCGCGCAAATGCTGCTTTCAACTCGGCGGATGCAAAGTCAACCACATTGCTGCAGAAAGTTATGAGCAGCATGCAACAAAGATGCGAGACTAGCACATACCTAACAGCCTTGTATTTTCGAGCCATGAGAGAATGGTAAACATGCGGGCCCTTGGTGTAGATTCCGTTGAGCATTTCCATATTGTTGTCAAACATGCCGATGAGACTTTGCCCGAAATCACCACGCTCGCGACCTACATCAACAACGGACTTCAGATCAAGTAGGGAAGAAAAAATCTGGTAGAACACAGTGAGATAGCGCTTGAATAGTTAGAATACGACGCACCGCAGTAACCACAGCTGAGACCATGGCACTCGGGATCTCGGGTTCATCGTTGTCATCAAGCACAGAGACAAACCGATCCTTATACTTCTTCCCAACCTGGTCCTGACTCGTAAAAAAGGCTAACTGGCATACAGTGTTGATAGCGGGATGGTCAAATGGCTGACTCAAGATGGGATTGCCCTGTCATGTCCTAAAAGTCAAAGAGGATCAACATTTGCGATGAGCTAAACCGAACCTTGGTGTCAAACTTGTAAATGAAAGTCAGGAGATTGAGCAGGCGGTTGATCTTCTCGTCATCACCCGTCTTGACCCCATATGCACCAGGAACGACGCGATCCGAAATCTCCTTGAGTTTCTTGCGAATCAACCCAATACGCCCATCTGGCTAATCAGTAGCACCACTTGCATGAGAATTGTGGGTTGCGAAAGTATTGACAAGAAACTCACCACTCTGGTGAAAGCTTTCATGTAAGCTTGGTCTTGTTCCAAGCGCTGTAAGACTTCTTTATGCTCTGCTGATGATGCGGCTTCAAGTACTAAGTTGACCATCATGGTGTGGCGATGTTTCGGTCGTGGAAAGTAGCACTCAAATACCAGCTCTCGTTCGACAAGCTGAATGGCAGCATGAAGAATTACTTGGATATGAGGTTGTTGACTGAGGAGATTGATTGTGTTGTTGCCGTTCCACACAAGATGTGTTAACGTATTGGCCCTGCGGTGTTAGGAGACATAAAGATTCACTTCATCCATTAAAAAAAAACCTACTACCAACGCTCTCTGAGGTTTCAATTTCGGAAGGGGTGGCTGCTTGAGCAGAGTGTGCGGATGCCATTTCAACCTTCTTCTGCAGCCGTTTTGCTGCAGCTTTTTCTCCGGGTGTCACAGGAGCCTTTGGAGGCATGGTAAGTAAAATATAGTTGTAAGAAAAAGACTGACGAAATGAGTGTGAAGCAAGAAGCGAATTAAAAGAGGGAAATTTTGATGGGGGAAGACAACCTGTAACAAGTGGTTCGAATTGAAGAAGGTTCATGTTCCGCCCGCAAGCTAAACACTAAATCTACCTCGGCTACCTCGTTTCGTCACCACTCACCACTTAAGCACCAAAGCCAACATTTCCATCGCATCCTCGACAATGCACAGTATCAGAGGCAACATAAAATGTCGTCCATGTGGAAAAGAAGGCCTGACTGTGGCTGGATATCACCGCCATGCCACACAGTCTCGAAATCTGCAGTGTCTTCCGAAGTCGAATATCTTCCATGCGATTACCCCCGACGTATTGCACCAGCTATATCAAGGACTCGTGAAACACATGATTGCTTGGATCAAATCGGCTTTTGGAGAAGCAGAGATTGATGCCCGTTGCCGTCGACTCCCTCCAAACCATAATATTCGCATCTTCAACAAGGGCATCTCTAGTCTCGCAAGAGTCAGTGGTGCTGAGCACAATCAGATTTGCCGCTTTCTTCTGGGTGTTATTATCGACATTCCCCTTCCCAACAACATTTCAAGCGCTAAGCTTGTTCGAACTCTTCGCGGACTCCTCGACTTCCTGTACTTAGCACAGTATCCATGTCACTCAGCGGAGACACTGCAACTCCTCGATGAAGCTTTGACCCGTTTTCATGACAACAAAGACATATTTGTCACACTTGGCATCCGAACGCAGTTTAATCTTCCAAAGCTTCACTCCTACCGGCACTACCTCCATATGATTCAAGAGTATGGCACGACTGACAACTATAATACAGAATATACCGAACGACTTCATATCGACCTCGCCAAGGATGCATATCGTGCAACAAACCACAAGGACGAGTACAGTCAAATGACTCTGTGGCTTGAACGGCAGGAGAAGATTCTACGGCACGCCAGTTATGTTCATTGGCGCCTCGCTGGTGATCCATTGCCGCAATCGCGTCTACCGCCAGATATGCAGTATGCCAGGGAATACAAGATGACGAAACATCCATCTGTCAAGGCCGCTACCATCGACTCCCTTAGAGACGACTATGGTGCCTCTTTTTTTCGAGCTGCCCTTGCTCATTATATTGTGCTTCACACTCGCCCAGACGCAACAACTCGAGCTCAGGTGGAACATGCCGCTGGACATGTATATATCCCCTTCGCCTCGCTTCCTATTTTCCATAAGGTCAGGTACAATGCGGTCGACTCCGCTGGCCATAAAGATGAAAGTGTTACCATTGATTCAGTTCACTGTCAGCCTGCACGAAGAGATAAGCGAGGGAATACCGTGCCAGGACGTTTCGATACAGTTCTTGTCAACTGTGGCAATGGGGGAGAGAAGAGTGTGGAAGGTCTGTATATCATTTGGTTGACCGTTTCAAGTCACTGATGAATCATACAAGGTTACCGTGTAGCCCAAGTGCGGGTTATATTTTCGATACCCGAGAAACATCACGCTAGCCTTTTTCCCTCCCATATCTTGATCCCTAAACATTTGGCCTACGTCGAGTGGTTTTCGCCATTCACCGGGACAAGCGAGAGAAATCATGGTATGCACAAGGTCTCGCGATCATACGAAAATGGGGAACAGCTAGTTAGTATAATATCTGTGAAAGATATTCGACGCAGTGTACATCTTATACCGAAATTTGGCCGCTCTGCACCTCGGGATTGGACTAGCAGCAACGTTTTGGAACTGTGTAGAGACTTTTTTGTTAGCCCATTCACTGATCGTCACGCATACGCAACTATTTACTAGCTTTGTTGACAACTTTTGAAAATATTATGCGAATTTCGAGAAATTTTTGTCGCATTTGCAAAATTCCCGCGGGAGGTTTTCCCTGATGTATGCGAGTTATACAAAAATGCTTGGTACAATACACGTGCTCTACCCCAATCTCATTGTCAACACCACCTGCAAGAATTTGACAATAACAGACAGCGGGTAACCACGACAGATATTGTGAGCGTCTTGAAGTCCAACGAAAGCAAGACATAGTGGTCCATAAGCGGGGATTCGCACCAGGCATCACGGACTCGAATAAAGTACAGCGTTATAGGATCGGGCTCGGTGGTATAAGATCGAATTTGGCAGGCCGCAGTACTATAGAATGTGATGGGATCGACTCTGGCCATAGAATCCAGTTTGTGGCCTTGGAATAAAGGTTGGCCATGGGACCGAGTTTGAATGTAGGATCGAGTTCGAATGTGGGATCGACTTTGGCCATATTGTCGAAGACCAGCGTTCCTTAGACAGAAACATAGACCACAATGCTTGTTGCCGAACCATACCATACGGCACGACTCCCTGGACGGAGACTCGAGAAACTTGAAGGAAGTAGCGTTAATGAGTGACTAGAGGCGGAGTAGGCGATAGTGGGGGTTATAAATAAAGTCAGAGTCGGATCCTTACTTATGAATGACCAGAATATATGCTTGCCGAGCGGTGACTGAGGTCTTGACCTCTGCCAATGGAGTTGTACCTCATTCATCTTGAGATCCGGTAGTCAGAGTGTTTCGAAATAGGAAAAGAGGAATGGAGCAGGGTCGGAGCCGGGTAAGGCTGCGAGCTTCGGTGTCAGTGGTAGACAACAAAGACTAACGGAGAACTGAAACTATCCACTTTGGACGTCGGTTCAGGACAAATGACTAACAACTCAGACCGTATCAGTTCACTTTGAAGCAAAGTCACACTGATATGAAGTCCTGGACTCTCGTACATTAGTGATGTTCCCGGCCCGGCTTGGGCCCATGCAAGCCGCAGCCCGCATGCTGAATCAATGCCTGAGCTCCACCATGCCGTTCCCAATGCCACGAACACCATGCGCAAACGCCCAGCACACGTCAGCGACTGCTGATGTGGCTCAGACAAATACGGACGATGGACGAGAGCAGAAGGGAAGAAGACAAGGAGGAGAACGAGAACGAGAGAGAGGAGATGGACGAGACAAGCAGGAAGACATCAAGTAATATGTAAAATAAATAAAAATTGCTTAAAAACGCACCATGCAGATGATGACAAGTGAGAACATGAATGAGCGAGAATCATGAGAACGAGCGTCGAGAGCGGGCTCGAGTCCAACACAGGAGACAGAGAAGTCTTGCATTGTTTGTTGAATGACAGGGAGGGGAGGAAGTCTTCGTTCGGCGGGGCTTGCTGGTGCCGTGTTGTTGTTGTTGTTGAGGCCTGAGGGACGAGAAGGATGACGGCGACGGCCTGCCTGTGTTGATATACTTGGCAATAAGCTCGAGGTTGGGTTCGGGCTGTTCCCTTTTTTCGCCTAGGTCCAGTATTGTTCAAGTTGTAGATGCTAGAACACTGGCTTGGAATCTAACATGGGGTTATAATGGTTTATCAGCAAGAAGCTAGATGAAGAAACAGATCAACGCGCAATCATGTGACCCGTGTCGTAGTAGATGCGCAATGTAGAACTTGGAACACTAGATTAGCGGTCGATATGGGTTTACATTTGATTCATCAAAACAAAAGGCAAAAGACAAGATAAGTAACACATCACAAATCTAAGCCGGTGCTATACACACCACGACATAGGCATATAAGGGGAAATCAGACATCGCCCAACTTATAAGGTGAATACTGTCATATCATGCTTAGTGGTTTTTAGTGATGAACTGGGCGCGGGGCACTCCTGCGATATTAATGTCCGATGGTTCTCCGGCTCAGCTAAGTCTTTAGGAGTAATTGGCAACTCGCATTCCCGACTTCCTGATCGATCAGGCCTGCAGGGATGATAACCACATTCTCAGGTTCCAGGAAACATAAATACAATTCTTCTACACAGCCCAACGATTGCGTATGCGTAGTACTGAGCACGTTCTGTCCGAACAAATATAAAGGTGACTTGAGGTCGACAATTATAAGGAGTTTGTTAACTGATACATTGTAAGCAAGTTTGTACGTATGGTACCCTCGAGCTCTTTGGCTACTGGAATGTTCTCCGATCATACTGTGCCTCGACTTCTCATATAACTACTAAGAGTTGGAACTAGTGCATGATATGTCCGAACGACGATGACGGGCCTCCGAGGATGTCCAGGCGATGCCTATCGATGCCAGAAAGATACTCGTACCAGGTCCAGGATGCACATTGCAGGTCCAACTGGATCTTTCCGCGAGCCAAGTACTAGGATCCGGAACACCGTGACATCCGACTCAGTTCTTCCTTTTCTAGTGCCACGTACGTTCCTCCATGATTTTGGGTACATAACTCTGAAATCTTGAGATCAGAGGTGAACAATAATATTTTCAATAGATTCAAAGACATCATCACGTGAGGGTACTGGTGCAGGCAAGCAGCAGAGTGCATGCATTCGTACCCTCGTTGCCAAAAGCAATTTCACACCCGCGAGCGACGAGATTGTCTTGTAAGCTGTAAATCGAACATTGTGGTGCCGAGGCAAGAAATAGATTGCACGAGTGCGCTCTGTTTGAGTTTCGAAAAAGTGCTTGACTCATTCTGAAGATTTGAAGTGGAGTCATTCTACCACCGATGACAGAGCTGAAAGTTTAGACTGCCATCATACATTGGTTCTCGGCGCTCGGCTGGGTAACCTTGTTGTACCACATGCATTGTAACAGATTTATTCTGTACTACGTACCCCTCTGGTACTAGTTGTGCGAAGTTTTTGTTCGCCGGCAATTGCCAGAGCGGCAACACCACGTGATTTTTAACTTTTCTCTCATCGCGCGCGCCCAAACGAAGTCTCAGATTGCATGTTCTGATCACAAGTTTCCGTTCCCTGTGTTCACGGTGTTGGAGGCGTCTATTATATGTTCCCACTAATGCACCATCATCGTGATAGGGCCCTGAGGTGATGCTCTTCAATGTGTTTGGTTGCTAGTCGACCCATCTGCCCTCAACCACCCATCTTATGGAATGGCCTCTGCGGTGGGTTGACAGCAAGGTGATATCAATACATCTCACCAACACAACTCGTGGTTCGTCGTGCCTTGGGCTGCAGTCATCTTACGTTACCTTACTAAACTTTGGATATCGACCCCATGCATCATGGTGGCTAGTCCCGCTCTATCATCCAAATGAAGTTAACTTACATCATTTAGCGCTATGTGTTCGCGGCAGCAGTCGCGCGCTTGTATTTCGCACTTCTCGGGACATATTTGGGAAAGATATGATCGTGCGACAAGATCACCGCGGTGATCGTTTGCGGATTAGAGTGAGCTACGAACTTACCTCATGTCATTTTTACCAGTTCTTTGGTAAGGACGTGCACACAAATTCTTACTATTCATTCCACAGTATTTCCGCGTGCCTCAAACCGATATGGGCAGATCAACTGCCACTTGGATTACCGATATAGTACGAACTATTTTTGCTGCATCTGCCAGGTTGTGACTGATGCCTTGTCATGGAGCATCCAAGATATCTGAACAGTTTTACTTCTCTCAGTTCGCCCTCTCGTTGGATTTACGCCAAGGGTGTATGGGGCTCTAATAAATACAAGCTACAAGGTAGGTGATTCTGTAAAAGTAATAGACATGGATACTACAAGTACTCAAACATTCAGGGATTCCTCAAATTCCGACGTACAACCTAATTTACTACCCTTTCTAAGTAGTATGGGACTCGATCTACGTTCGAGTGAATGAGCGACATGTCATTCCACTGCCCGGGGAACGAATTGTGTCGAAATTGCGAAGGGGTTGGTTGGACCAAATTCCAGTTGCCCTCACCACCGACAATATGGTGGATCTCCGTCTGAGGGTGGCCTTCATACTCTAGAATCGAGCTCATCACCGATGTGTCTGACATTGGGCTACTGTTCTTGCCCTTGATGCAATGGCGTTTGTCCACGTCTCGTTGTTGGGAATTACAAGAGGTTCTAGGGATTTCTGAGATCCTGTCATCGACGAGCTGAAAACGCGTACCATAAGCCGTACGAGACCCCTGGTCAGTTTCATAGGCTGATGTTGACGAGTATTTCAAGGGCGGGAGCGGCTCATGCCTAGAAATTTCCCCATGTTCTCTCGATAAATCCCGCAGGAGTTCTGCAGCTGCGAAAGGAATAAGTGATCATGCAAGCAGAACGTGTACAAAGCAAGTATACCTTTCTTCAAGGTTTCGCACCTGGTCTGGGGAGTCTCCCCTGTCACTAAGCGAATCACGTCTTTGAGTTCTTGGAACCCGTCGCCCTCTTTGACCCGATACTGCCTCTGCGATGCAATTTTGTTTTGCTTCGCGGGGTGTTGGTAGCTTTGCGCACCGCAGTAGAGGTTCATAGTCGCAATCACGTGGTTGGTGAGTCTACCAGTGGGCTTAGAAGCCCACTTTTATAACATCCTCTACCCCGCCACGCAAGTTTCGTAAACTTGGTTTTTTTGGACTATCAAGCAAAGTCCGAACTTGGGTATCTCATTTCAACCTTACAGCGCGGTTCCCGATCTAGATGTCTTACTTTTTCAGGCGGCTCACCGATTTTATAACCAGTGCAAGGTTTGATTCAATTTGAATCGGACAGTGCTGATTCAATTGATGCTTAATGACAACCTGGACCATCAAGTACTTTTATGAACTACACATCAGCGCTACACGTTGTACACGTTTAAACGTGTTCGTGTTAGCACGATCCTCTCAAAACTTGCAATCCGCGTGTGTGTATAGCACAATTCATCCAACTCGGAGTCGGTAACACACCGAAATATGACGTCATAGGTGAGAAGCATTAATTCCAGCATAGTCACTCCTGCATTTTACTACAGCAAAAATGCATTAATGGAGTCGCCGACTCGGAAGTTACTTGGTAGAAATATCAACTGACACGTATATTGTTGATGGGAGGATCATCATGAAAAAGGGCAGTTGTGGTGACAAATGTGTCGCGTCCGAAGTTATGCAGTTGGTTGATTGGTCACCAGTTATGCACATTGGACGATCAAGTATGCACGAACGTTACTTATGAAGCTTCGGAGCCCTAAGACCTGATATAGATAGGTTAGCCCGGATAATTCTCAGAGTCCGCAGTACCGCTCACATTCGAACCCCGAATGTTAAGTCTTGTTTCGTCGATCGTTTGGTTATCCACATTCATTTTTGAGATACACACTTCGGGACTTTGCTTGCTCCAAACTGTTCTGAGTAAGTCGAACTTAGGCAGGCACATATGGACTTTCAAAACTCCGTGATGCTATGCCCATATTAATTAGCACGTAAGTGTCTTTGATAATTGATCCAAAGCACATGGACTTACAACCACAAAAAACAAATCTCGAAAGCAATGTCCGATTTTTCCTGGAATAGGCAGCAGTGATCGAGCAGTCTGGTTAGAGAAGGGTCAACAATGATACGATGGCCGCCGATGGTAAATGTGATTTTGACTGAGACCTTTGGAACATTGTGATTGGTTTTGTCTCGGGAAGTTCAAGTGTGCTCTTGTAGTCAAAATTCAGTGATAGTGAGTAAGGTCAAATGTCTACTTAGCTCACGTCACAATTGGCCGATGGCGTCGCTGCCAAATTATGACGAGCAAAGCTGTGCCGTGACTAGCAAAGCTGCGCCATGACTAGCACTCACAAGTAAAGGTACTCTCGGCTCTAACAGTCAAAAAATATTAGATGCTCACCACAACGATGCAAAAAAATTGAAGGACATCAGGCAGCTCCATCACTGTGCAGTTATTTTTTGATCCTTGGGGGTCTACTTGTCCTCACTTGTCTCGTTGGGACGCAGATAACGAGGATATAGCCAACAGATAAGGGACCCCACCACGAGCACGGAAGGACCTCATGGAATTTAGGAGACAAAACAACAAGGACGTAGTTACCAACAGGGGAAGTAAATAACAACAGTGTACCTAGCGAGACGAGAAACTCGAGTGAGAAAAGGCATAGAACCATTTCGAATCCGTCTCGCTAGACATAGACTGCTATCTCCACTAAACGAGGTCAGACTTAAGCCCAAGTCGTTCATTAATTTATCAAGTTAGAGTCATCTCCATCAAATTTAATTCAGCATATTGCAATTCGAGCATTGATATGGGCTCCAGGTCAAGGAACGCAGCGCGAGCATCTGCCTGAGGACACTGTATCATGATTTTGGGACGACCAAACGATTCAACCTAATTTCAAAATTTATGTATATATCCCGCTTACTAAGCCAGCATTTCGGCGCTTTTCCTCACGGGCGTATGGATTGATCCTTATCGAACGAGCATGTCTGGCTTGGATGCAATCATTAATCGCAAGCCTCCTAGTCTATGGGAGCTGTTCAAGACGAATCCCAGCCTTTTATAGCCTCAAAGCTATATAATACTCAGCCAACAACTGCTACGTCCTTTGTCTTCTCCCGTCCGCACCATATGCATATCAGACACTCACAACGCCGACATATCTGCCCTGATACCACCCGGTGATATCCTCATTCACGCAGGTGATCTCACGCATTCTGGCACTCCAAGTGAGCTCCAGGTCACCTTTGACTGGCTAGTCTCCCTTCCACACGAACACAAAATCGTTATAGCCGGTAATCACGACACATACCTTCAGACAGTCGAGGGTCGTTCATGGGTCCACACATGGCGAGAGCGTGGCATCATCTATCTGGAGGATGAGGCTCACACTATCCAAGTGCGTGGTCGCACATTCAAAATCTTTGGCAGCCCATTCACTCCGCAGCACGGCAATGGCGCTTTCCAATACCCACGTACGGGTGTCACTGGCACATCCAGCCGTTGGTCTGTCATTCCAACGACACAGACATTCTCATCACTCATGGTCCTCCTCACGGTCATCTCGATCTCTCTGGACTTGGTTGCAGAGCCCTGCTTGCACGTATATGGGAGCTCTGTAGGACACACCCGCCAGTGCTTCATGTGTTCGGACACATTCATGGCGGTCGTGGAATCGAGAATATGCCCTGGAACTCTGCTCAGTCAATATGGGAGGACATTGTGCTCAAGAAAGGGGTTGGTTCCGCACTATGCATTTGCTATGGGCGATGCTTTGGGGTGGCCGGGATAATAGTATAAGGACGGTTGCTGTTAATGCATCTGTGGTAGGAGGTCCGCGGGACCGTGATATACGGCCTCCTGTCGTCATTGATATATAAGAAATCGAAATCCACACCCACTGACTAGTAACGTGTTCATGCCGCTAGCTCCTCTACCCACTTACAAGTTTAGGTCAACACGTCGTACACATATCCTTGTACTATCATACACTTGTACTACAGGAAAGTGTGTGCTTGTCGCTAAACTGACTCATCCCTCTATATACCCCCACACAAAGCCTTTAACTCCTTGATCTGCGCTTCCTGGATTTCTGCCCCATACGCGATCGCTTTCGCCTCAATGTCTGCGACCTTGATTTTCGCCCCCTCCTCTTGGATTCTTGGATGAGGTATTGCGCTGCATCGGACATATCATAGGACTTTGCGTTCCCTCGCTTTCCGGCCTTCTCCAATTTGGCTACCAGACAGTACATCCAGGGCGCAGCGAGCACCTTAAGCCCAGGCTCATCAAAGATGACTACACCATCGCTAATTGCTTCATTGTAGAGGTTGGTTTAGTGTTGGGAGCGATGAAAAGTGCAGTGTGGTTGTTCATCCACCCTTCACCAAGCTGCATGGTCTTGGCTGCGCTTTTAACCATCTCGCAAGACGGGATTGTTTGCAGCATCAATGCTGAAGAAATCTACATCCGCTGTAGAGGCACGGGAGCCTGTACGAGATTGTCAGTTGCATCGTCATTAGGAGATCGTAGAACGAATACGCACGAGAAGAATCGTGTTGATAGCGCCTCCAACAGCAACGACGGTGATCTGTTTTTTCTTGCTTTTCAGGTGTGTGGCCGTTAGGCCTAAGCCACGCTTGATATCTTCAGCGGTGAGCTGCTTTCTTCGACACCTGGAGAGTACTGTTTAATCACTCGCGAGACGCATCATGGAATATATTTCTGACCTGGCCTGTTGACAAAGTCGGTGAGGCTTGCTGTATCGCTGAAACACTGACCCATCGTGATTTGACTTGGTGGAAGAATGTAAGATGTGTTTGACGCTCCAACACTTCGGAGCGCCAAAGCTTCCACCTTCGTCACATGCGTCTAGCTGCAGTTCTCGCCTCCTCCAGGCTCCACTCGTGACCCGTCATTCCACCGGTCTCTACTCTAACACCCGGAATACGAGGGTTTACCGTATGCTCGTGTTTGGTTCCTGTAACATCAGATGTACACACATTAACAAAAGGCAAGCTTTTCCCATTGCACTCATTATATAGCCATATTCTCGACTTGGATTTTTGTCAGATCTTCTAAAGGGCATGAAAAACTGCATAACCACCGATCCATTATTTAACAACGAAAACACAAACAT